ACCCCAAATCATCCCAGAGTGTGGAAACTTTACACTGGACTTCAAACAGGTTGCATTTTCAGCCTCTCCACTCTTTCCACAGACTTGAAATGAATTCCAGTTCTTTTTCTCCTTAGCCCAGGTAAGACACTTCTAGCTTTGCTTCTGGTGGCTAGATGATATAAAACTAAATTAATAAGTCAGAAACCAACTGAACTGCTAACATGGATCTTGGTGGATTGAAAGTGAGCAAACGTTAAGGCCTTGCCTTCACATTTCCTGATTTTTGCATACTCATCACCTGGAAAGAGGAAAAAGACGACGCAGGAGGAGCTGTAACACAGCATGTATGAATGCACTCTCTTCAGAAGCGTTTTCGCCTTCAGTGTATGAACGAAGTGTAGCACACAGATGTTGTTTCAATTATGTAGCATGACCAATCCGTCTGCCCTTCACTGTCTCTGTGTGCATTAATAAAAAGTGTCTTGTCTTTTCTAATTGCACTGTGCTGTGAATTGAATTGAAAGTTGCCCAGAAAATATAACACCTTATTAACATTGCTACATCATAAAATGCAGATGTAGTTGGGCTAATAAAATAAAAAACAACGACAATAAGTTATAATGCAGTTGAGCCAAAGATCATATTTAACTGAAATTGCTTTAAAATGAAGTGTTGAAGAGAGGTGCTCTCATTTTGTCAAAGGCCTGCTGACTCTACTCCTCTCTCCTCTGCCTGCATCACTGGTGGGAAGTACAAAGGGGGTTAAGGATAGGAGTCAAGGAGAGGAATCCAGTATGGGCAATCTGAGAAATGTGAAAGGACTAAGATAGCCACCTCTGAATGGGCCGGGTAGACTGGCCTGATGCTCCAAGATGCACTGACTGAGCTCCACGTGTCAGGGACCTGCAAACCAACACAGAAGGCTTTTTTTTTTTTAATTTCTCTCGTTTGTGTCTCGAGTACTACGACTATTCCACTGAACAAAACTCAGAGTTGTGGGATTCCAGTCCCTCTGTCGAGTCTTTATTCTACACAAAAGCTGTCCACCAGGTGGCGTTACATAACACACACACTACTTTTTCCATTCTGTTATGATGTGCTATGAATGTATAATGAACTCAGCACTCTAAACTGGCTAAATATGCCAGATATTACTATTTGTCATGGTCCTGGCAGGCCTGGGTTTATTTCTCTTCTTTTCCCTCTCTTGTATAGTCAGTGTTACAGTTACAGTGGCTGTAAATTCCTCTCTGTGGAAAGACTCAAGTTGATTCCTTGAGAGGAAACAAAAACTCAGATCCCCACATGCAAGATTCTTAAGTTCAAAACTCCCCCTCAAACACACTGGAGGCTGTTTTGTTTGCTCTCCCCGCAACCACCACACATAAATATTCAATGCCATGCACCTTTATCAGGCAGTGTAACTGATTTTAATGTTGTTAGGCCACACTTCCTGAATTAGGGTTGAGATATTTATCTGCACGTCTCAGCAGAAAATCAATCCCGAGTCTGCAACATGCCAGGTTGCAGGGCATTTTATGGGCTGAGCGGCAATGTTATTTTATAAGAATGCAGTGAATATTCTCCAAAAGTTGATTCTGTTCATCTGGACGTAGCGTTATCTGCACGCTACGTCCACATGAACAGAATCAGCTTTTGGAGATTTACTTACCTGGATGATTGAGAATACATCAAGATGCAGTGAATATTATTTGTAATTTTTTTTAGTTCACTCATTAATGGCGAGGCAGTCACATCAGCAGAAAATTGGATTTATTTGTTTGACTGCAGACGGCCTAAACCAGGGGTGTGAAACATAAGGCCCGAGGGCCAGAATTGGCTCAGGAATCTGGCCCATTGGATAGAGTCAAAAACTGTAAAGGAGGGCATAAACTTTGGACTTTTAACTGTATTTTCATACCTTTTATAACTTTTCTCTGATAAAGATCTCACACATGGCAATTCATACTATACCAAAGTAATAAATAAACAACATTCCTGTTTTTTTAATACCTACAATTCTTTTTTCTTTTCTTTTTTTTTAAAAAAAATTTAAAAAAATCTTTCTGGGCAATGAGCTACCATGAAGTTTCTGTAATTTTGCAAAAGAGTTGTGTAATTTCTTTCATTCACTTCAGCAGTATTTCTTTGTCATTTCGATAACACTTAGATTTACAGCTGAAATTGCACTTCTTCTTATATAATCTATGTCAGGGATTAAATGTGTATTTAAACTTCTTTACACTGACAGAAAGGTGAGTTTCACTCGTTCAAACTCAAAGTGGGCTGACTGTACTGTGTGTGGCCCACGATCTAAAATGAGTTTGACATCCCTTACTTAACCTTTATATTCTTATGATCTAAAATTATATGTAAGAAAAATACTACATATAAAATGCTTAGAAGCAGAAAGATGCTTTTATTCCAAAATCCTGTCGATATATTTGAATTGAAATAATGGCTGGTTATATTTTTCTCCTTTTCCGTAAAAGTGCTACATGAAAAAAAATGTCCCAGGTTATAAAAGGTTGAAATCTAAACTAGTTGAGACTAGAAGTGTTGATGAAAAATGCACCAATTACCACCAGTCGGCACAAATATGTTTAAAAAAAGAACATGCATGCATAAAGTAAAGATAACAGTTGTCCTGCTGGTGTCGATGCTTTATTAGTCTTACATAATCTTTTTCAGTGAGTACTGATTAACCTTATCTGATTAACCTTTGCAGTCATTAGTGAAGCCAGAGTGGTCCAGGCAGAGTGATACTCTGCTGAAGATCAATATGTCACCGCAAGCAAATGAAAACATCCGTGTTTTCCGGGTGGTCTTCAGTCCAGCAGATGGTGCGTGAATGAAAACAAAAACTGTGTGAAGTATAAAAAAGCAAAATGGCCAGCTTTAAAATGTGAACTTATGTAAGAGGACTTTCAGTGTTAAAAATATCCTGTGGCCACAACAGAAAAACTTGAAATCTTTTTATTTAATAAGATGTATTTCTTTATTTGTGTACTTAACATGATTAATGTGGATGTTTTCATGCAGTAATATAGTAAATGCAAAATTCATACATCCACTCATTTTCTTAATCGCACATAGTGGTGCAGGGGAGGGCCCTATATATGGCCTAATCGCTGCAAAATCTGAAAAGCAGCCTACAGGACATGCTTTTATTTTTTAATTTGTCATGTTAGCTGTAGATTAATGAATTAATAGATGAATTCCAATATAAGTCAAATAATGGCTATGTTAAGTAACAGTAACATTGTGAGGAATGTTGGAGTTATTGCTGACAGGATATGTCCTTTAGGCGTCATTTGTCCCATTATCCTGACAGAGGCAGCTTTCAGGCCCTCTTCTGTTGAACCAGCTTCCAGTTTGGACTTTTTGGACACCCTCTCTACTTTTAAGGTTAGGCTTAAAATTTTGGTTTTTGATAAAGATTATAGTTAGTGTTGGATAAGGTGACCCTGAACCATCTCTTGATTATACTGGAATCGGCCTGGCTGCTGAGGCCTTCCCATATCCCATGGATTGAGTGTTTCTACTTTATTTGTCTTTCTTCCCTCTCCAAGTGTTTATCCAACTCGATTGAATTTGATCATTAGCGATGATTAAACTCTGGCTTTTTCTCCCATGTGTGTGTTTTGTCCTGTCTCACGCTGCTCTTATCTCTTTCCAATCACCCCAACCCCTGAACCTGGTTCTGCTAGAGGTTTTGTGCTTTTAAAAATGAGTTTTTCCTTCCCACTGTCGCCAAGAGCTTGCTCATAGGGGGCCATCTGATTATTGGACTTTGTTTCTAATATTGTAAGGTCTTTACCTGACAATGTAAAGCGTCTTGCTGAGAATGTTGTTGTGAACTGGTACTATATAAATACATTTGAACTGACATTAATGGTATTTAAAGTCCTAAATAGTTAACGTTTTGATTTTTTTAAAAACCATTTTTAGCATATGAGTTGTTAACGCGCCAGTGTGATGACGTCATTGTCGGGGTCAGGACAGGTTGACCTCAGGTGTGTGTTTTTTTCTTTTCTGGGGCATTTTTTGCGGGGTTCTTCCTGCTGAAGGTAAACATATGGACGAAGCAGCGATTTGCGGTAAAAATATGAAAACTGTGTTCGAGCGGCGCGGATTAAAGCGACGAAAATGCCCGGACAGAAGAGAAGATATGACGTACGCTTCCCTCCTGTGAGTAAATGTGGAATAATGTGGAAAATTAAAGCTGCCAAACGAGCTAACGGGTAACTGTAGTCGTGTGACAACTGTTGCATTCAAAGACTGCTGGAAATCATGTTTATTAGCGAGCTAGCCTAGCAAACTAGGAGATATGTTAAATATAAATTATTTACTCGTTAAAAAACAACAACAAAAAACGGTACCATTATAGAAGGTGTTTCGATGTTTTTTCAATAAATACCAGTTTGCAGGACTTTGTGCTTTCTGTTCCTTCCATTTTTTATGTTGTGGTTGGGAAACTTGTTTTCCTTTTTAATGAAATGTATGTAGGCCTATTTTGTAGTATAAATAGTTGGCACATACATGTCACACATTGTTTTTCACATATGAACCATTAAAAAAACACCTTCAGCTGCTATTAACAGTTATTTCATCAGTTACATGCAGTTTACTCAGTGCTCCTCAATGCACCGTAACTTCCATTTGCTTGAACAGCTGTAAACTCTTTGATATTGTTGCCAGAGGCGCATCAAAAAAATCATGCAGAAGGACGCTGAGGTGGGCCGGATGGCAATGGCAGTTCCTGTAATCATATGTATCCTTTATGAGTCAAAGCTCAGCGCTTTGCCGAAGCAGCATCTTCTTCCAGCTTCTCCTGAGGCACTTGCTGGGAGTTAAAGTCAGTTGCGTTCAAGTGCCAAACGCTTAGCAAAATAAATAAACTGTCCTAATGAATCTTGTTGTTTTAG